AACAACAATCAAGGAAATTGGAATGGCAATAATCAAGGTAATTGGGGAGGTAACAATCAAGGTAGATGGAACAATAATCAAGGCTCCCAGCTTCGGGTATTCAAAGGCCCCTGATGTATCAATAACCGAGCAATCCGCCTCCTTATACTTCCCATGGTCCTAGTTCTTCAACCAATAAGATTGGGCGTATTGAGAACATGTTCAAGCAAATGATGGAAAACTTTGATGCCTGCCTTCAACACACTACATTAACAGAATTACCTTGGAAAGGTGATTACTATACATGGTTTAACAAGCAACATGGATCTCATAGGATCAGAAGTAGATTAGGTAGAGTGTTTGGCATTTATGAATGGATAATGTCCAGGGGTCATGTCGATACAAACTACGAATTGCCTCAAATATCAGACCATGCTCCTATGCTCCTAACTTTGAGATTTTCCACATGGAAATGTAGAGTGCCTTTCAGATTCTTTACATATGGGCAGAATATGATGACTTTTCTCAAATAGTTGCTAGCATATGGAGTTCACATAGTCCACAGGGTAATCTGAAATTAGTTTAGGCAAGATTGAAAGATCTAAAACCTGCTTTGAAGTTTCTGAATTCTAAGGAATTCAAGGGAATAACTCAGAAAATTGAGAAGGCTAGAATTGAGCTGAGTGACATCCAAGGGAAAATTTCATTGGGTTGCACTGATAATTTACTTGATATGGAGAAAAAAGTACTACTGAACCTTGAGAAGTGGTCTTTAATTAAAGAGAGTGTCCTTCAACAGAAAGCTAGAGTAAAATGGATACAACTGGGAGATTCAAACTCTAAGTACTTCACAACAGTGATGAAAGATAGAACTCAAAAGAATCAAATCATAGAAATTACAACTTTGCTAGGAGATAAGCTGACTGACCCTGATGCTATCAAAAGAGAGATTGTTGATTTCTATAAAAGTTTAATGGGAACATCTACCACTACCTTTCCTGCCATTAACAGAATGTACATGAAGCATGGGCCTACACGATCTCACTAACAAAGGGTCGATCTATGTGCAGAAGTAACCAATCAAGAGATTATTGAGAGCCTCAAAGAAAATGGTGATGATAAAGCTCGAGGTATTGATGTCTTTAATGCAGTTTTCTTTAAGAAAGCCTCGGACATTATCAATATTCAGATCATAGATGCTGTGAAAGAGTTCTTCTCAACAGGAAAACACTATAAGGCCATAAACTGCACTACTGTTACATTGGTGCCTAAAGTGAACAAACCTACCAAAGTCAAAGAGTACAGACCAATAGCTTGTTGTTTAATCCTCTACAAGATGATCTCTAAAATATTGGCCTCCAGATAACAAAAAGTCATGCCTTACATCATTTGTAAAGCTCAAGTAGGCTTCATTCCTAGTAGAAAGATTGCTGATAATGTCATTATAGCTCATTAGATAGTCAAATCTTACATAAGAGCACATATATCCCCTAGATGTATGATAAAGATTGATCTCCAGAAAGCTTACGTCTAGTAAAATGGATCTTTGTAACACCCCGTAAATTCGACTTAGGTATGAATGTGTTAAATGAGTAGTAATATTATATTTTGGACATGTGAAGTTCTATCAGAATGAGTATGGGTGGAAATAATTATTTTAGAATCAAGACAAAGAGTAAGGTGTATAAGATTCGATAAAATCGACAAAGTTTTACAAAAGGTCTTACTTGCAGCAGGATGTAGTGAAAATGTGTAAATAATTAGGGAAAACTCAAAACACAAAAGTTGTAGCCCTTTGAAATAGATTTCCAATGATATATTGTGGATCCCGAAAGGATCTCTGTGAAAAATGTTATGTGCGATTTATTGAGAAATGCGCAGTATGCGCGCCCAGGTGCACGACCGGATAGTCCTATGCACAGTCACGCACTTGTGGCAGTGCTACTGCCTTTCTGCTTGTTAGGTACGTGGTTGGGCCTTCAGGTGCACGGGAAAGATGAGTTCTAATGGTGATTCTAAGTTAATTTCCTATCTTAAAGCCACAAAGATGATATTTAAAGGGTATATCTATCACTTGGTTCGAGTTAGGGATGCATATGCTCAGATTCTCACTCTCTAGTCAGTACCACTTCTAAATAGGTTCCCAGAAGTGTTTCCAGAAGATCTTCCTGGAGTCCCTCCCGATCGAGAGATTGACTTTGAAATTGATCTACTCCCAGGCACTAAGCCGCGCCTTATAGAATGGCTCCAGCACAGTTGAAAGAGCTAAAAGTCCAGTTGAAAGATCTTCTAGATAAGGGATTTATAAGGCCAAGTG